TTTTAATTGGGAAAAATGCACTTAGGGACTAAGAAATGTAAGCTACAGCTACATAAATAAATGAGAATTACTGCTATCAAACTTCAGCTCTCAGTATTCGGTCTCGCTTCACTTAGAATCTGGAAAAGACATTGCAAAGACATAATCTTATGAAAATATGTGAGGCAAATATATCTGGGAAAATGCATCTCTCTGGAAAGATACAAAGGTTTTGTTTTCTTTGTGAAAAAATGAATCCCCAAAGATCGTAATAAAAAAGATTGTAAATTCTTATGCTGTAATTTTGTCCTTTTTTTTTGCCAGAGAGCTAATCCCCAAAATGTCCCTATGTATAAACAGGTTCATCACTGTATTTTTATTATTAGGTTTAGTAGAGAAGTGAATCATCCCTGAAAACCCTGAAATATGCCAAACAATTTAAGTCTTTTTATGGGTGAAATTTCAATAAAACCCTGTTAAATAACATCCCCTTGCACCCCTTGCAAAAGACAGTATTTCCATCTTGTGTCTGTTTCTCCTTATGTCAAGTAATAAAATAAAACTAATGACTGCTAGTAAATTACAAAATTCTAATGATATCTGCTAAATCTTACTTATATAACATGTATATATAACATCACATCTCTCCATTACTATTTGCATCATACAAAGATACTTGAAAAAGTATTGTATTACTTAAAATAGCTGTAAACATACTGAACTTTCAACCACTTAACCCAAAACTCAGGCAACTCTCATCTTCAAATATTTGATTTCAACAGGACTTAAGATGGAGAGAGCCTAAAAAATCAGAGGGAGAAACAGAAGGAAGGCTTCTGCACACACTGAGCCTTAAGATCACCTGTACAAGATAAATGTCATTTTTCTGGATTATTAAATACAAAATTCATTAACTTTGGCAAGTCAGTAAGCCTATTATGGAAATTAAAAGCACACAAGTAATTCTAGAATGGAATTTCCTATATAATCTATAGGACAACACCCTAGAATAGGTTTTTTTTCCAGAAGATAAATACAAAAAAATAAGTACATGACTGGCAAAAAGTATAGGGAAAAACAGACTTGATGTTTTCATTGAAAACAACCTAGAATGAACAAGAAGAAAAAATACCAATTCTGCTTAGGAGTTGTTCTACAGCTGGACCTCGCAATGTGAAGCATTTAGGCATATGCACTTTCAACATGCACCTGAAAGATCTATTAAATTAGGCGGCTGAAGAAATTATGAACTCAACAGTTACCTAATAATCAAGAAGGTCAGTTATAACAGGAAAGCATTTGTTCTATAAAGCTTTTTATCCTCTCAATTCCTAAGTTGATGACAAAAAACATCTTCTGGGCGCAGTAAAAAACTATATGCTTCTACTTAAATGTGCCTATATACAGGGCTAAAGCCCTGTCAAAAGATAATTTTTTTAATATAATAGGCATTATATCTTACATGCATAAACTAAATCATTCAAGAGATCAGCTGATTTGAAAAAGGTGTAGTCCTAATACTCATAGCAAATACTAATTGTAGGACAAAGCTGAAGCAGGCACAATGGCCATACAAATGGGAGGCTAACCTAGCTAAACTGAAACATATAATCTCTGTTGTTCTGGGCTACTCACAGAATCCTGCTTATTTAGAGAGACAATGTGCAAAAAATGCTAGGAAAAAGCTGCTGAGGACTTTATATCAATTCTAGCTTTATCAGTTCCTACTGTATTCGCAATAGTCAACTGAAGCTTCATGGAACACAGTATTACAGCTCTGCATGCCACCTTGGAAAGCAGCTCTCTCCAAAATTAATGTAGCAAAACCACATTAAAATAAAATCTGACTCATTTTGGTACTATTCCAAATAAAGTGCAAAATATTTGCATACTATATTGAGTGTATTTGTTCTACCTTCAATTTATGTGGAATCCGCCAGGTATTTCTAAACATTGCATTGTTACAGTAACTTGAATACTTGATTGTGAAAATATTAAAATTTTGTAACACTTGTAATACAGAAGTTTAATTTTACCTGAAAAACCATGGACATGCTGTAATTTCATATAATAAAACTTACATTTAGCAACCTTTTAAATAATATTGCGTTTTCTAACTGCATTCAGTCAGTTTCACTGTCTCTTCTCTAAGCATGGTCAGGGTGACATGTTCCAAAACTCACTTCCATTGAAGCTCTACAGCACAGTCCAGTTTTCTTTTACCCCATCAGAACTGATCCTACAAAATGATGTGTAAATAAATATCCTAGATCACCTAGAGATAAAACTTGGTAAATAATGTCTGCTTTGTTTCTAGGCTTTACAGTTATTAAATATTCAAAAATCAAATAATAGTTATCACTGAACTCAACTACTTCATAATTTGATTTTCAAACACATTTTAAGAAATTTGAAAAAATAAAAGGCTTGTAGAAGTATTTTACTCTTCACTGATTTTAAAGATGAGTAGAAGCCACTAATTTGCTTAAACAAGTCAAATTTCTGTGCTCTAGAAATATACAATAGTGCTACTTGCTATAACAGGTATATTGTTCTTGCAGCATCTACAACAGAGTCTTTAAAGCATAAGTCTAGGATTTCTAAATTGTTGAGAAAAAATCCAGACATTTTCTCAGCAACCCTTACACAGGAATTAAGGCAATATTCTACAGAAGAATGACACAGTCATGAAATCAAGGGATTGAAATGAACAAGAAGACAAAGATTTCTTACTATACCAAAACAAATTTTCTTTTTCTAAGGCTAAAAGACACAACATTCTAGGTCAATATATAGGATACAATAAGCATTGTGTCAAATAGAACATTTGAACTAAAAGGTTAGAAAAATCATGAGAACTTACAAATTAAGTAGTCATTACTTGAGATAGAAATATTGTTCTAAATCCTACAAGGACTCATAAGCGTTCTCCACAAAACTAATGGGATTACTCACTTCAGAATCGGGGTTCAAATTACTTCTCAAATAGAGTATTTGTTCTACTGCAACCTGTCTTTGAACCTGTCAATCATAAAATGACTTGTGGTGGAAGAGACTTAAAGATCATCAGGTTCCAAACACCCCCACCATGGGCAGGGACACCTCCCACTAAACCAGGTTGCTCAAGGCCCACCCAACCTGGCCTTGAACTTTTCCACAAAGGGGCACCCGCAGTTTCTCTGGACAACCTGTTACAGTGTCTCACTAACCTCACAGTGAACAATTTCTCCCTAATATCCAATCTAAACCTACCCACTGCATTACCCCTTGGCCTAGTCACTGCATATCCTTGTAAAAAAGTCTCTCTACAGCTCTTGTATGCCTCTAGTTACTGGAGAGCTGAAGGAAGGTTTTCCCAGAGCCTTCTCTTCTACAGGCTTAACAGCCTCAACCTCAGCCTGTCTTCAGACGTCCTAAGAAGTTGTGTTTGCTCATATTTGATCTGCACCTAAAAACAGTCAGCTCTTAGTGTTAGTCCAGGTCAAAAAAGTACTCATGTGGTATCCTAATCTGTCACTACTATTTTATTGGACCAGGTTTGTAATAATAAATTATTACTACTTAGAACAAGCTCAGACTTTCTGTTACACGGAGAAAGCTTTTCAGCAACAAGAAAGGCTTAAAGTACAAATAAACTTTTTTGCCTGTAAAAACTGTACCAATGAGTTTTCAGAGATACAGATAGACTGATACACACACACAAGAACTATTTCTGTGTAACCGGTCATCTCACATCCTGTGGGCATGGGTTCAAGAATTTATTAAATTTAATATAAATTCACATAAGTTGTTAGAATTGTACCCAGCTACTCACTAGAACTTAGATGTGTCCAGAAATACATGCATTTATATGGAAAAAAAACCTCAAAAAGGCAACAGCTGCTTTATGTAAATGCAATGGTGTAAAGATACAGTTGATGCCTGAACAAGTACAATTCAACCCTACTGTTGGGCAAATAAAATCCTCACAATTTTTACCTCCTAGGTAAGGACACAAACCTTGAGTTTACATTCCGGGTCAGAAACATTTCTTAAAAACTGCAGAGCTCAGAGCTCACCTGCTCCCTGTCCACATAACAAGCAGTACTGCTATCACTAACCCTACAAAAACTGCCATACCTCGTCAATGTTGCAGATATTTTTAAAGATGAAAGTGATTCTTTCCTTTGACTAGCTCCTATTGTAAAAAGAGATGCTATAAGTAACTTCTCTGCTCTCTGTGAAGGAAAACTTTGGGCAACAGGTGAGAGATCCAAAGTCAAAGAAGTAAAGACAAGACGTAGGTGGCAAGGTTTACAGGACGGGAGGACAAACCGCGTCCAGTGACGCTCCTGGGCAATTCCTAGCTTTCACTTTATGATCTTCAGAGCATGACTGCTGTTTTCACACCCCAGAAAGCTGTCACTGCTCCACACAGAGATCTTTAAAAGCGCTACACTCTTCGTGTTTATCTCTGCTCTCAGAACTTCCAAAATACTTAAAAGTTAATTAACCACAGGAAGACACGACATTATGGGAGGGGGAGATATAAACTCTCCCTATAAATCCGCTTCATTATGTCGCTTTGCCCCCTTATTACGAACATCTTCGCTATCTGAAGACACGCAACTAGCAGCCAGCGTGCCAAAAAGAGACCCCGCCGCAACACTCCACGCCGGGTCCGTAGCGTACAGCGGTATCTCCACGGCGCCTTTCCGCCCCAGCCCCGACCCGGCTCCGCCCGCACCCCAGGCGGGACCACCTGGCCGCCCCGCGCCGCCGCCCGCGGCCCCGGCGGGAGGGCGCGGCCGGGCCCCGGGCCGGGGCAGGGCCCGCCCGCCCCCGCTCCCCCGGGACACCCGCCGCGGGCGAGGCGAGGCGAGGCACGGCGGCGGGGAGCGAGAAAGGGAGGGAGCGGGGCAGAGAAAGTTGAGGAAGCGCCTTTCGGCGGCTGCCGGCAGGGGAGCCCGCGCCCGGCGCCCATTCAAACAAAAGAAGCCCCTTCTCCTGCCAGCCACCGCCGGTCCCACCGCCCGACTCACTTCGCAGGGCCCCGATCAGGAGGCTTCCGTCCTTAATCAGCTCCTTGATGAACTTGTTCGTCCTCTCCAGCTCGATCTCGTGACACTTGAGGCGCTCCCTGAAATCCGGGCTGTCCAAGTAGGAGTCGCTGAACTCCAGCGTGGGCAGCCCCATGGCAGCGCCGGCCGCCGCAGCCCCCCGGCCGGCGGCGGAGGGAGGGAGGGAGGAACGGAGGGAGGGCCGCGCCGAGAGACGGCGCCGAGGGCAGAGGGGAAAGCGGGGGAGCGGCGAGACGAGGCGCGGCTGCCGCCTCTCCGGACAGGCTCCCGACCCGCCGCACCGGCCCGCTGGCAGCGGAGGCGGCGCGCTCCGGCCGCTGTCACCCAGCTACATCGCTGCCCGCGGGGCACCGCGGGCTCCCAGCGCCGCCGCCGCTCCGCCGCTTCCGGCAGCGCTCGCTCTTCCTCCCCGCCCGGCGCTAACTCCAGTGCGAACCTCCCCCGGCCCGGCCGAGGAATTCCTCCTCCTCCCGGCGCGGCATGCTCACACGCCGGGGACGCTGCCCGGCAGTGCCCGCCCCTCGCTCGCCGCCCCTCCGCGCTCTGCCCTCCAGCGGGGAGGGCCTGCGCGGCTCTGCGAGATGCGGCGCTCGCCCTCCTCCGGCTTTGGGACAGCCAAAGCAAAGTCGGGAGGGAGGATCCGTCACCGGGGTATTGCAAAGGGTGTGCGTGGGGGAGACCGGTTTGTGTCGGGGTTAAGCGGGGTTAAGCCGCGCTGCTGGGGCAGAGCAATGCCAGCCCGGGGCTCCTGCCTCCGCTGGAGGAGCCGCGGGAGCCGGGGCCGGAGGCAGCCAGCCCGAGCGGGCCTGCTCTGCCCGGGGATGCTGCTGGCATCTCGGCCAGCCTGCACCGTGTGCGCGCCCGGCCTGCGGCGGGGCAGCGCCCCAGGGACGGGCAGAGACAACGATGGCAGCATCCGTGTTCTGCCATAGGGCTCGGTTGCTGTGAAAGGGGTACAGCTGAGTGAAATCCATCCTAAAGATGAGCATCAAGCCTGGTTTCTTTAGCAAAGTTGGTTTTTACAAGTATGTGAGTAGGCTTTTCACAGTAAACAGAAACACTTTGGTTGATTCGTGTATGTTTATCTGGAGTGGTTTATCCAGACATACCATGTAAGTATGTATACAAATGTACATACTGGATTTAAGGAGAGCTCTCTGTAAACACACTTTTAAGTTGGCAGCAACTCAGTTGGAAACAACCATCAAGGCATAGCCATGAAAGTAATTGTACTTCAAGAAGCCCATCACTTGCCAAAAATGACTTTCAAGAAGACAGCCATGCATACACTCCCACGAAATCATTTATCACCATGTCTACACAGTTGAATATGGAAGTGCAGGAAGGTTCAGTGCTCCTACATGCTGTAATTCCTTGATATAATTTGTGGTTTTCACACTTTCTAACTGTCATCAAAATTTACCTCTTTGTATTCACAATAGATTTTTGTGAGTGTCAAAAATGCAGAAGAGACACTGCCATTTCTACTAATACAGCCTGCAGAATTTCTTGAAGTGAAAATATAATAATTCTCAATTTTCACAAGGCTGAGACTTCCTCAGGACAGAGTTAGCTGTCAGTGTTGATACTAATAGACTCATTGAAGTATCTTAATTTGTAGTGATCAGAAAACTCTGCTCATTGACATGTTTCTTATTTTTCTAATAATAGGAAGAATAAGACTCAAAAGGGCTGCTTCTTTCCATGCTTTTGCAGGCAGTAGCATGTGACTTCATTTGTCAACTAAGAAACTTTATTTAGAATCCAGTTTAACTACTGGAAGGATGTTCCAAATGGAGCTTTTTTCTGACTATTAAAAAACTCATTTTCAGTCTACATATGGTCTACAGGGTCATTTTAGGCACAGTTGTTCTCTCTTCAATGACATCTGGAACTGAAAATATTCTTTGTCTTCTATCATGTTTATTCTTTGATGTAGTTTTAGAATACAATAATGTAATCTCTTAACTCTTCCATACAATGCCTGAAATAAAGCTTTCTATCATACAATAGAATATTAATTTCTCTCTTTATTCTTGTTGTTCTTGTCTAGGTCTCTGAGTTTGATTTGATCTTACTTCATCATAGTTTACTGAAATTGTATGCAAGACCTTGTTCAGTCACATTAATGACTATGTTACTGAGCTAAACACCTTTGATGAAGATTGCATTTGTCTACTTCACAGTAAAATTACTACTGTGCTTCACTAAGTCTCTTAGATCTTTCTTTTCCTGTCTTCAACTAGCAGATTCCAAAGTGAAAACTGAGGCATTTGTTAGTCCCAAAATCATGTACTAAGCATTTTAGTTCAAAGTATTTATACTGACTAGTGACTGATTTCTTACTATATAATGTTCTCATCTTTAGAAGTTCCATGAGCATATTGCTGCTTTTGATATCAAGATCATGAGTGGAAATGTTAATGAGACAATATTAATAGCATAATCCCTCCAAGTAACTTACCATTATCCACTTAACTGGTTCCATGTTTCTCAGAATAATCCATATCTTTCTCAGCTGAACTGAGAATTTCTCAGCATACAGTGTATCAAAGTTTGTGTAAAAATTCTACTAGTTCACATGTACTACTGTTCCCTTTTTTTAGCAAAAGCCTTTCTTTTTAAGAAAACAGATTTGTTAAGAATTGTCTTTGCTTCATAAGGCAATATGTGGCCAAAATAGCGCCCAATCCTGCATTATCTTCCACTCACAGAGAAAAGTCTTATAGTTAACCTGTGAGCTTAATGGGCATTTATGGCTGCGTCTGGAGGAGGATCTGGTAAATGAGGGATCTGGCCCACTTGCAGAGTTCAACTAACAAAAAAAGTCTTGATGGAAAGATAAGTCCTAGTGTATGTTTTGTGTTGGAGTTGGGTGGGACCTTGTAGTTAGCTGCGTCCTACAGAAAACAAGGCATTTGAAGATGTACTTGGGAAATATAGAGGCCCAAACTTTATAGTGAGCAGGATAGAACTGTATTTGGTTTGGTTTCTTTTTTCTTTTTTTTCCCTTAGAAGATTCTTGCTCAATGCCCTGGTAGAAACAGTAGGTTTTATAACTTGATGGGAGAAACTGGGGAGAAGCCTAAACTTTTCAAAACAGCATCTTTCTTGTAAACTAATAGTATGCCAGAAGAGAGTGAACCATATTGGAATACAATTTAGACACCTAAGTAGGCAGAAGCACCAGTCCTTCCAATAGAAGGCTCTAGTAAATGAGTTAGCCTGGTGTTATTACTAGCTATGAGGAGACAAATTAAAGATGGGACACTTTTTTTTTCTGAGCCCCGGAGAGCTTTGTCCTGTTTTGTCAACTTCTATGTTTGTTATTCTAAGCTCATTCTGATATCTTACATGCTAATGAGGTCAGATCAATTACTGTGGATTTCTCCTTCATCTTAAATGTAAACATTGATCTGTAATTTCCAGACACTGGCCTTAGTCTGACTCTAGAAGTTACCTCAGGCCTATTTCTAGGCAGCATGGGAAGAGGAAAGGAGAGATGTGTCTCAGTATTTTCTACAACAGCACCTATTCCCTACTCGTAGGGTGAGGATAGGGCTGCACACGCAGTCTCCAACATTTGTGTCTCTTTCCTCCTCTGTTAGATACTATTAATCTAGGCTATTAATGCAGAGAAGGACTGTGAGCATCTCTTATCTACCAGGGAATATTTTAGGATAGAGACTCTGCCAACTTCCTTGTTATTTCTTCTGCCTCAATGTACACAATTATGGGAAAATTACTTATAGAGCTGCGTGGCATTGCTCTGTCTTCAGAAAATTGCTGCTTTCCCTTGAGAGACTGTGGGATTATAGGCAGAAAAATACAAGGACACTGATGCTTGTAAGTCCTCTTGAACTGCTGAAGTGTACCAGATTAGTTCAGTACATATCCAGCATAAAAAAAATATTAATAGAATAGAAAACTCTGCTCAAGCAATTTTTTACAGAGTATTGAATTTGTTTTAGCTCTCTAAAGAACTTGTTTTACTTAAGTTTCCCATAGGTTTCTTCTAGGGAATTGCCAAATTTCCCTGGAACTTGCTGGGATAAATTCCATTAAAAGTTTTCAATTTCTCCTTATTAATTTAAGATACTACATGCTAAGCTTATGTTGGTAAACAGTGTTCAATTAAAAAAAATAAGAACATTCATGAGGAAAGTAGGTCTAAGTTTTTTATTTCCTTGCATGTATAAACTGAAAGTAATACTACTCTGTCTGGAATACAGTCTCATGTTGTTAACTGACTGCTAAATTACATAGCTGCCAATGTGTTCTGTTTGTTTTGTTGGTTTGGGTATTTTCACTGCAAGATAACATTGCCAGAGGAGGAGAGTAGCTAGACAAAATCATAGTTTGGAAACCACGCCTTGTAATTTAGTATGTACAGACCATATTATCCTGAAATATTGGTCTCTGTGCACACACAAAGGTCAACTCACATGTGCATTCCTATCAGTGTTTCAGATTGTCATCAATAATTACAGATTGGTAAACTTTCTTGAAAAAAAAGATTGTGTTTTTAATACATGAGCTAGCTCAAAGTGGTTTGGAGAAGCTTCAAACAGTGAAGTTCAAAGTTGGAATTAAAAATCGTGTTTAGGAACTCTTATGCTGTGTTTGCTTAAGCCTCCTGGGTACTTCTGGGTTGAATCTGAATATTCTCTAACTGGCTGTGGTTCTGCCTTCTGGTAAGCTCAAAATAGCATGTACTTCAAGAAGTAGGTGCCTGACACCACGTGAGTTACAGACACTTGAAACAAGCAGCTCCCAGCTTCCAGATCAGATGGATACAGTACCCTGACTGAGCAAATGAAGGCTAGTCTGCATTCTATGGGAAGTAGTAGATGTGGCAGCTTAAAAATCTGTAGCTTAAAAATGTGTAGCTTAAAAATCACCGCAAGGTAATGAGGACTGCATTATGTATCCTAATACTTAAGTATCAGCCTATAGAGTAAGAAAGCTGAATGTTAAGTACCTGCAGTCTTGGTTCACAAGAAGGGGGAAACTTCAGATCTCATTTTGCCTTGCATTTCTTCTTGAAGCTTTTGGGAGTTCCACTCAGCATGAAAAACCTTTGGATCACTCTCCATGTCTATATACAGTAGAGGAGTACCTCCATTCTTTAGTTTTCACTTTGGAATCAAAGCATCTGAGAGTTAGTAGATGTACCATCTTAATTGAAATTTGATTCATGTACTCTTTGGTGAGATTCTGTACTTGCCTGTATTTTTCTGAAAATAACTTTTTTACATTA